GCCACAGCAGCTCCTGGAGCTCGGCAGGCTGCAGGTGCAGCGGGTCCCCGGGGATTGCCAGCAGCTGGCGGAGGGGACAGGGGGCTGGGGGGCTGCGGGCTGCAGCTGGGACCTGTTATCAGCTTCAGCTGCTTCAACCGGCTGCCAGCTGGCAGGGGACAAGCAGGGGGAAGAGGCACAGCGCTCACAGCACCGTGCTCAGCACCCACCCGATGCTCGGGTTCCTCTCCGGGTGTCCGGATTCCTCCCCAGCTCCTTCGGTGCCGTGACACCTCGCTCCTGCGGTTGCCAAATTTTTTGGCAGAAGGCACGGGGAGCACCCACCCGCCCCGGGGCCGTTCCTCGCAGCCCCCCCGGGGGGCTCCCGGTGTCACCCAGGGGCCGGGAACGGGAGGCTCCGGCCGGGGCGCTCCCGGGGCTGCTGCCGCTGCTTCCCCTGCGCTCGGAGCCTCTCAACCCAGCCGGGACGCGGCCGCTTTCGGCCGGGCTCCGGGCACCGGGGGGCCGGCAGCGGGCGGGCCGGGAGGGGGGGGAGGCTCCCGGGGCCGCCCCCGCCCCGCGCCGCCCCCGCCGCCCGCTCCCTCCCCCGCGCCCCCCGAGCCGCGGCCGCAGCCGGGCCCCGGGGTGCGGGAGGGACCCGAGGGACAGCGGAGCGAGTGAGCGGTGCGGTGGGTGCTGGGCGCTGCCCCCCTGTTTTTCTGCTGCCCCCCCTTTTTTCTGCTGCGCCCCCTTTTCTGCCTTCCCCCTCCTGCGCCCCACTTTCTGCTGCGCGCTCCCCATTCCGCTGCGCGCCCCCCTTTCTGCCTCCCCTCTCCCTTCCCCCCTCCTCCTTTCTGCTGCACCCCCCCCCTTTCTGCCATCCCCTTTCCCCCCCACTTCTGCTGCCCCCTTTCTGTCCCCCCCCTTTCCTCCACCACTCCCGTGGCTTTGGGAGCGCAGGGGCCGTGCTCCAGCAGTCCGCGCGTTGCAAAACATCTCCTGGCTTTGCAGCACGCTTTCTGCTTTTTTTTTTTTTCCCTTTTCCTTTTTTTTTTTTTCCTCCCCTTTTACACTTGGAGTAGCTAATTGGATAGCAAAACAGGGACTGCAGGGGTGGGATTACTTCATGCTCTTGCAATGCTGTTTTGCTGCTCGGTGGCAGTCCTCCCGCGTGGAAGGGCTCAGCCCCGTTGCGCCGCTTGGTTCCGAGCGGGGCTTTGCTCTCCAGAAAGATTGCATTGTGTCTCCGGCTAAGTTGGCTTCGGAGGGGATTTGTTCTCCTCAATGGTGCATTCAGCAGGTCCTGCGGGCCTTTCGGTGCGTTTGTGTGCTCCAGGGTTTCCTCGGCTGGCAGGTTGATTCCAGCACTGGGGCTTTTTTTCTGCTATTTCCAGATTTCTGCAGAAAACGCGAAGCCCGGTGACTGACCCGGGAGGGAGCCCTGGCTCTGCCCTGTCCCCTCAGAGGTTACTTTCCTCTTTTTTTCTTTTCCTTGTTGAAAATTGGGTTTCCTTGGGTTCATGTGGGAGTGGGGGAATAGGGAAGGTTCCCATGTTGGTGACATGGAAGCTCAGCCAGCCAAGTGAGACTATGGAGTGTCCAGATGCACCCTGTAAAACACGTCTGGAATATAAACGAGAAGCTCTGTGCCCTTTAAAGAAAGAAGAGAAGGAGGACCCAGGAGTGGGTTTCTGGCTGCTGGTTCCTTTAGGCCAGGAGTCCCCGGGATGGGATGGGATGGGGTGAGCAGCCTGGCTGGGGCCACCACTGAGCGTTCACCCTGCTGAAGGCTGTGCCAAGGAGGGGCCGTCGGGAGCCCCCTTTCCTTCCCTGTGCCTTCCCCTCCCAAGGGCAGGAGGAGATGTTGGGGGGGATGCTCAGGAGCAGCTCGCTTATCCTCGCTCTCTTTCCCCCACGGCTACTTTTTCTTGCTCTCAGCAGATAATTACAGCAGTAAAACAGGGAGGGAGGGAGCTGTTTGCTTTCCTTCTTTATTGTAAATATTCTGCCTATCAAGCAGTAACTCTAGAAATAATTAAACCCAAGGGGAGATGCTTTGTACATCTTAAACCTGGGCTTCCCCGGTGGTATCATCCTCCCGGGTGCGGCTGTTTTGCTTTGGTTGCCCGAGTTAATTTTACTGCAGCACTGAGGGCTCCTGTGTGGTTCCCGAAGTCTTTCTGCATTTTGAGGAGTTTGGGACCTGCTCAGTAGCTTCTCTTCTGCCCCAAAAGGGGCAGCACTGTTAGGTGGGAACTTCCTGTTCGGACTGCTGGGGACAGGGTGGAAAGTTGACCTTTGTCGCAGCTTTCACCCCACCGCAGCAAAGGTAGCCTTGGTTGACTTTTTTTTTATAGAGTTGCTTGTCTCATTTAAAATTATGAGAACATATTTCCCATAATAGTCGCATGACTTAGCTTACATCCTTCCCTCTCCCCTTCCACTAAGTAAAAATCCAGATCTGCTTTGATGCTAACAAAAATCATCCGAACGCTTCCCAGATCTGGGGTCATGTTTGCGCCGTGGAGCTGTGCCCTCTCGGGAGGGCTTCTCCAGCGCACAGAGAGGTAGCTGGCAGTGTAGGGCAGCAAATGTTTTTTGGGGAGGCTGGGCCATGCCCCAGAAAAGCCCCAGGCTTGGTGAGGATCTCAGCATCTGTTCCTGGAGAACAACTCTTGGCAGGAGGCACCTCCTGCCCCAGGCAGCATGCGGGGCGAGGCATTTCTCAGGTGCTGCTTGAGAAGTTGTGCTTCTGGTGTTCATCTGGGTAGAAACTCGTGCGGCCATGTATCGTGTTCCTGCAGGATAATTAAATCAGGCTAATTAAATTAATAGTCAGAAAAGGGCGAGATGTTACCCGGTATGGCAGTCATTATGACTACGGGGCTTTTAATTACCAGCCCTTTCCCTCCAGCTCGAGAGCAAACGCTCTTCTTGTTAGCTTAAAGGATTTAATTTTCGGAGAGGGCGCACCACTGCCATTTACACAGCGCTCAGCCACCCTGATTCTCATTTATGGCCCTCTGCTTGGCAGCATCGTTAGCGCTGGGAATCACGGGGAGCAGTGCGGGACCGAGCTGGGGCTGGCAGCCTGGCGGTGGACACGGAGCCCTGTGCCATGGCTCTGGATGCATGTCTGAAGCTGGTGCTTAAAAATGTGACCCCAGGGACTGCTGCTTGAGATCTGAGAGCTGTACCCTCCCCGGCAGCAGGGGACGAGGGGGTGGATGCCCTCCGGTGTGCTGGTCCTGGTGTCTGGCTGCTCCCCATCTGCCGCAGCGCAAGGTGGTGTCTGCTGCTCCTGGGGCTCGTATTTCCTTCCAAAAGGAGAAATTTGTGGCGGCTGCTCTGCCTGCCCCAGGCTGAGCTGGACACGCTGTGGCGGCCAGGGCTGTGTTAAGCTTGGGGGGTTTCTCCTCCATACAGCCTGCGTCTTCTCCTGGCTGCGCTTGCCTTTCTATTTTGATTTGTGTCCAGCTTCTCCCTGGTTCAAGGTGAGATGGTAAAGGACATCTGCAAGGGCAGGTGCGTGGTGCTGAGGCAGCCTTCTGATGGAGGCTGCAGTGCCTAGAGCAGGAAGGGACAAGTGGCAGCCCAGGATACCCCTGTCGCCTTGGGGTGCCACTTTCCTACATCCCCCTGCCTGTTGGCTCAGCAAATCAGGGAGTGGTTTGGGTTGGAAGGGACCTCAACAATCCAAGTCCAGCTTGGAGCCTCCTGCTCTTTTATGTGCTCATTTCCAGACTGCACAGTCGTGTCTCACTGGGTGAGAATGAGAGCACTTGGGCTGAGTGGTGATCCCCAGAGAGCCGGGGCACGGCTTGTTTTTTGGGAATGCCAAAAGATATGTGGAAATGCTGGGGACGGAGCCTTGCTGGGACAGCAGTGCCATTTGGGCAGCACTGAAACGCTCTGGGCAGGGCGTCAGGCAGGGCTGGATGCTGTAGCTCGGGCGGACCCAGCTGATGTGGTCTCTGCTCTGCTTCTGCTGCTGGGTGGGGTGGGAGAATAGGGCTAGGTGGGGCTGCTGGCTGCTTGCCCCTCTGCTGCCTCCCCGGAGGCTGCTCAAGCCCAGCTTTCCGGGTGCTGGCAGCCCTGGGCGAGAGGCCCTGGCACGGCGTGCTCTAGGTGGAGCATTTGTGCTGGAGAGCCCAGGCTTTCAGGAGCTTGAATAGGAAGTTACTTTTTGCAATAAGCTGATGGCTTCATTTTTTTGACCTTTTGAAAGCTTTTCGTGCTTGAGCTACGTGTAGGAAATGAAATTTCTCGTGCTGAGAAACAGCGAGTGCTGGCTCTGGGGAAGGATGACCGACGTGATCTGTCGGATGTCTGGCAGAGCTCGGTTAGCGTGAAGCAGGGCTTGGGTCCCGGGCTGTGTTCCTTCGTTTCAGAACTTCTGTCTGCGAGTCTGCAGGGGTGGAAAGGGGAATCGGGAGAGCTCAGCACCGCTGGGGTGTGCTCATGGAGAGCCACAAAGTGCGGGGGCTTCTGGTCTTGGAGAAGGATTTCAGTGAGAAATGAAATGCTAAAATGATGAAGGCTGAGGACTGCTTGCTCCTGAGGCTGGGTGAAGTTTGGGCATGGCCTGAAACGTTTCCTGCATCCTCCTGGGGCTCCTCTGACACCATTCCTGCTAGCCATGGTGCTTGGCCGCTGGGGCTCTGGTCCTGCTGTGCCGAATGGTGCTGGCTGCTGTGCTCTGTACGCAGCTCTGACTGTCACTGAGCTGTCACCTCTTCCCTTACCATTTCTTTAGCTTTTTGGGGGTGTAAGAGTCTGTGCTGCCCCTGTTCTGAGCATTCTGTGGCTTGTGTTCCTAAGCCCTCTCCCAAAATGAAAGGCAGCAACCTCATTTTCCTCCTGGGGACTCGTTCCCCTGGCAGCTAATCTGTGGAGCGCCCAGATTAACGCCCTGGGTGTGCCTGCGAGTTGCTGCCGTGTGGGTTACCTGGTTTGGGGCTGGTATGGGACGTAGTTGAATGTGGTACAAAACGTAATGCTCTCTCTATTTTTATTTACAGAACTCATCTGGGGACATCATCACCTCTGCCTCGGCCGTGGCAAAGGACAGCTCAGCCTCGTGGTGTGGCTGCGGTGAAGCCTGTGGATGGTAAGAGCCAGGCAGGGCAGCTCAGCTGTCTGTCCCACATGTAGTGCTTTGTAGGTGTTTCAGTGTGCAAATATGGGTAAGAGACTCCAGAAGTCCCTCTGAGGTATTTGTTCTGCTGCTTCCTCTTGTGAGCTCTGCTCTCTTTGCTGTATGTTGGTGTGTGATTGAAATGGGGAGAGTGCAGTTGTCCTCTGGCTGTGCTCAAACTTCTTAGACTCTCTTTTCTCTCATTTTTGCAGCAAAAGAATCCCTTTCTAACAGGGTACAGGGGGGAAATTGGTTAAAGTCTTACTTAAATGCTTTTTTTGGGTCACAAGCTGAGTGTAATGCATACTGCTTATTAAATCACATATCTGTCTTGGTTGGGGATTGCAAAGCACACTGAAACCCCTGTGACTTGCCAGCAGATGCAGGTGCTTGGTCTGCCCTGCTGGGTGTTGCCCTGCAAAGCCACGTGCCTGCAGGTGCCTGGGGTGACTGAGCTCCAGCCATGGCTGCATGCTGTGGACCCCAAACGGACGAGTTGCATCTTACTGCAGGCTTTCCCTTCTCTGTGAGATGGAGAAAAACCCTTTTTCCCAGGTCACACCCTGGTAACACCCTGGTCACTAATGATCAGCAAGTAGTGGAAGTTTTTGAGGGTAAGGATGGAAGGTGAGGGGGTTGTGGCAGCAATATCTTGAGGTCTTTTTGTCCTGACTGTCACAAGCAGAAGGAAGATCTCAGCTTGGCCTTGAAGCCTGTGCTGTGACTGTACTGTGGGAGTGGCACGAGTCCCCATCCCAAGAGCAGATGACGAAGAGCAGATTTGGTGACATCAGGTGGGCTAAATCATGCTGGCTGCAAAGTTTTGCTGGTGTGCAGTTCCCTCGTGCAGGAGGGGACTGATTCAAGGGCAGCTGGTAGCTTCATTTTGTGACTGATGTCTCCAAGCAGAGGAGAGGGATGAGAGCTGGCTCTGCAGGGTGTTTCATGGGGTTAATAAGCACGGTGTGCAATGTCACAGGGTACTAAAAGTCCCTAACCACTGTGGGGCTTTACTGCAAGTCTGGCTGTCCAAAGGTGTTCTCCTCCTTCCAGAAGAGCAGATGAGGCTGGCTTTGTGATGAGGCAGGAGGAAGCTGGCTGTGCACGTCTGGGTGCAGCCTCTTGGCCAGTGCCTGCCGTGGAGAGGCACAGGGAGGCTGCTCTGCACGGCAGCACCTCGGGCTGGTGGTTCTGGCAGGCCGGGTGGTGTTTTCCCTCTGGTGGTATGGCAGGAGATGCCCACTGATTCCCAGGAAGCAGCGTTCTGGGTATGTGGAAGCTGGCATGGGTTTCCTCCCGTGTGAAATGGGTTCATAGGAACATACCAGGCTCCTTTACAGAGCAGCTTGAGAGCTAATGAAAGGCATTGCTGGGTAAGAGCAAAACACTGTCAGTGAGTTACTCACCTCGTTAACGAGGTCAGCTCATTGCTTTGTAACCAAATTAGTTTGTTTTGCTCTAATCAGTTTTAGTAGCTAGAGTGCTCAATAATTACTTGTGTCCTTATGAAAGAGACGGGGCAGCATGAGTATAGCTGCTGGCAGACTTCTCTGGCTCCGAAACGAATTGTGCAGATGATTTGGGAAGGCATCCTTCCAGATGCACGATGCACCCGGAGCGATGCTGTCAGATCCCGGCTGCGGCCAGGAGTGACTGTGCCTGGAGCCTTGCTCCTCTGTACACAGCCGTCCTTGGGGTGCTCAGCAGGAACCTCTTGGGACTGTGCTGCAAACATCTTCTTTTATACCAAGCAGGACTGCAAACAGCACGTGAGGGCTCTGAACTTTTCCTTCCTTTAACCTATGTACATCGCTAAGCCCCCGGGTGCTATCAAACACATCTGCTCTCTGAAACAGAAAATGTCCTCCCGGGGGGTTGCACCTCTGGTTTCTTTTCCTTTTTCCAGTGTGAGTGGTGTGCTCTTTGAAACATCCGCCTGTGGGGGCTCAGGTGGATGGAGAGGGCTGAATGCAGCTCGTGGGGAGGGGGTGCTGAGAGCTGCTGTCCCTGCATAGCGGTGGCTTGACTCGGGAGAGAGGACTGACACCGGGCCCTGCTTCTCCTCATGGGTGATGGAGACAATTGTGTACTGTGCCATGCAGCACGTGTCCAGCTGCTGCACAGCAAGAGAAAAGCTGTGGTGGTTGGCAGCAGCTCTTCTGGGACTAGGTCCTTCCATGCCCTCGGTCTCTTTTGGTAGACTTGTACCTGTGAACTGAGCTAGAGAGAAAAATAAGAGAAGCTTCTGAGCAGAAGTTGCGCTTTTCTCAGTGAGAAGTTTTCTGCAAAAGGAGTTCCTGCTGGAGCCACCAGTTCTGTCTACCCTTAACCCACATGCTGATTTTAGCTGGAATATTGCTAATTCTTGCTGTTCTTCCTGATTTCCTTTGAGGTATTTTCTTCTGGCTCGGTTCAGATGCGCTTCTCCCTGATATTGTACAAACTGATGCTGGGCACTGTCGCTGCCCTGGAGTGGTGTCTCCTGGTGTCTTGTGGGACTGAAGCAGCTCTCGGGTTGCTGTCTCTGTACAGGGTTTGCCTGTCTGAGCGGCCCCAAGCAGCGAAGCATCACCTGCCCCCGAGCACATGGCTCAGTGACGTTAAATTTGCCAAGTAAAAGCTCCGGTGTGGGTGTTTCCAGCTGTCCTGTGCCCATGGGACAGCTCATGCTGACTTCTCTCACCCCTACCTTCTCCGGTGAGTCCCCAGGCGTGCCTGGGAGCTGGCTGGGGGCGTTGGGGAGAATCCCTATCCCCTCCCAGCATCCTGGGACGCTGTGCTCCAGCTGCTCCATCGGCTTCTCCTGTGGCTGGGTTTGAATTTCCCACATTTTCATCCTATTGCACGCCTCCTGTTCCTGTGCCGCGGAACAAGGAGGGCTCTGCACGGCGAAGCTCCGCTGGAGATGTGCATTTTGGCAATTCTAAAAATACCCCTCGCTTGCTGAGGCTTGTGCGGGTAACCATGGCAATGTGGCTCCAGGAGCAGGGTTAAAAACAGTTGCGCCAATTAAGGGGAAAATAGAGCTGTTAAAGCTTATAAAACCTAAAAAAAATAACAACAACAAAAAAAAGGCAACAAACACGTGATGCTGTGGTCTGCAGGCCATCTTACATGGGGTCAGCATCTCGGATGGGGTCAGTTTAAACCATCCCCTTCCCCTCAAAGCAGCTGAAGTGCATGCTGAGAGCCCCCCTCTCCCCACCGAGCGGTGCTCACAGCCCCAGGTGCTCCTGGCCCTGGCTCTCAGTGGGTGCCTGCAGCCACCCCTCACCCTGTGTGTGGCTCTGAAAGCAGCGGCATCGCTTGGTGAGCAGCAGAGCAGGGCGTGTGTTGTCCTGAGATTAAACTCTTCTCGCTGGCAGGGCAGCCTGGCTAAAACCTGCGGAGGGTTTTGAGGCTGGAAGCTCAGTCTGAAGAACAATTTTGGCCCACAGCGTTGGACTGTGCAAGGGGGCAGATGTGTTTTGAAATTCATGCACGAAGCCAAAGCCCCTCAGTCAGCGGTGGTGCTTTCGGTGATGGATTAGCTCTGGGCTGGGGAAGCAGTCCTGGTAAAAGCTACCAGATGAGCCCGAAAGCTAAGGGCTGACTCTATTCCGAGTGTGTTTGCTTTAATTATCTCTGCTGAGCCAGGGCCAGGGTCATGGGAAGCCTCGGGGATGTGCCACTGACACTGGGTGTCCTCGGGCACGGCGAGCTGTGCCTCTGCTTGCCGGCACACACAGGGCCCTTACCCTGGGAGGGGTTTGTCAAAGGGGCTGCTTGTCCTGGGGCCCCGCGTTTGAGGTTAAGCCTCTGAAGCCTCTCCATCTGTGCACACAAACACAAGTGCACCAAAAAGCTGCTCCTGCACCTGGGAGAGGTGTGTGCGCGGCCTCCTTGAGAAGGGGCGGGTTTTAGGTCCTGAGAAAGGAGAATTTTTGGAAGGCAGGATGAAAGCGAAGCTCATTACACTAAGGAAATGCTGACCTTTCTTCTAACGCTACGTAGCATCCCTGCAGAGTGCCAGGGTACATATCTTACCCCAGCATTGCTCTTGCCCACTCCTGAAGCAAAAGGTCTAAATATCTGACGTTGCCTTGGGTCAGCCGCTCTTCCTGGCGAGCTGCTTATTTACCTCCTGGAGCAGCGTTTTCCTCCAAACCAGCATCACCCCCAAGTGCAGTGCAGGCCCGGGAAGGTGCAGGCTGCTTTCTGCTTTTGCTTGTCCCCGGGCGTGCAGGCACGGCCGAGGTTAAAGCAGCGGTGGACAGGAGCCGGAGGCCTGTGGGCAGGAAGGAAGCGGGGGCCGCGCAGCTGTGCTCGGAGGATGCTGCGCCTGCTGGAAAGCAGCAGCGGGGTCTCCGGGGACGAGTTAGGTGAAGGAAGCGGCGATGAAGTCACTGGTTTGCTTGGCTGGCTGGTGGCGGGAGGTGTTGCTGGCAGCGCTGGTGGGGACGGGGCGAGAAGGTCAGGGCCAAGGCAGCGAGAAGGCAAACGCACGCCTTGGGTTTGTGTGCACGGGTTCCTGTCGCTGCCCTCAGGCTGGCGGCCTGCTGAGCACTTCTGTACGTGGGCCGGTCACTGCTTAACGCTGCAGAGGGGTCTCTGTGCCCACGGAGCTGCTCCTGCCCCTTCCCTGGGTGTGAGCAGAACGTGAGCCCTGTGGGCCAGCAGCTTGGGTATGATTTTGGGAAGACACAGTGGGGCTGATGTTAGTCCCCAGGGGAGGCAGTTTTGGTGACCCCACAGCACTTGGGGGTGCTTGCTTAGCTGTCTGGGGGGGCCGAGGGCTGTGGGATGTGGCATTGGTCCAGGGTGATGGATGGGGAGCCCGCCCCAACCCCACAGCAAGGCCTGCTCGTGGAGGGAGCCCCAGTCACGATGGGGATTTGGGTTTGCGGACTGGTTTAGGCAAATGAACAAAGATTCCAGGGCGGATGCCTTGAATTCGCTTCGAATTATGGTTTGCATCAATTTGGGTTAATTGG